TAATATTTCATTCTTTCGAATGTTGTTTTTCCAGAACCAACGGGACATGGTACAATAATACTCTGCTCGAGAATTTAGATTTATGGAGAGACGACCATCGGCCACTCGTTGCTGGATACGCGCTTCAAACAGTTAATTACTTCAATTCAGAAGGGAATGATAGTATAATTCCGGAAGTAGAAATTCTTACCATTGGTCCACCATTGAATGCCCACGCAAGTGAATGGCCACCAAGATTTCCGTCTTGATCCCTTGACTTAGGCTTTTTATGCTTTTTATAAAACTTAACCGAATGACATTCAAGACCTCAAAAATCGTATCGAAGATTTTTTAAGGGTAAGTTAAAAACAGCGCCTCGTTTATGGTTTGACTTGAAAATGATGATGGTCATTTGGAAAATCTGGTTAAACCATGTTTAAAGTACAGTTGGATTGTTCACTTTTTTGCTTAAAATGTTATGAACGAAAACCATTAGTTCGATTTTAGTGTTCTTGCGGTCTCAAAGAATAAATTGAATAACCTTTTACGAGAAATATCACTTAACGGATAGTGTCCTTTATAATTGTATGCCCGAGTGACGCAAATATATTTAAAATTTTAGCGTAAATGTATGTGAGACCTCAGTTGACGTGTTTTATTATAACCGACCTCAAGTTCTAAAAATTAAAATTATTTCAATGTTTTCTTCGAAAGTGTAAACCATTTTTGTGGACTAATCACATACTTAATACGGTTCACTGATTAAACGTATATGCCTGATTTCGTACCTATTTTTCAATAACCTGACACGTTCGAAACCCCATAAGTAATTCAGTTTGTTTTATTCTATTTTACAATTTTCTTTATTATTTAGATTGAAAACGACTGACTCAAATCGACTGAATAGGGCTCTTGCAATGGAATTTACAATGCCTTATGGTTTTGGGTTTTACAGCAGAATGAGATATTGATTTGAATGTCCGCCCGTATATCTAAATTTTTGGTAATTTGTCCAAATTTACCACACGTGATGACTTTGCCTTCCTAAACTAAATGGTCGACTGCAAAACTGTGAAAATCCTGTCTGCTATTATTAACAATTGTCTACTCAAATTACTTTAATTTGAAGAGGTTAATACTCAATTGTGTCAACGGAAAAGAGCGACGTAGTTTTCAAAAATTTGGCGCAAATAATCACTATAAGATGATTCCTAGAGAATTAGAGAGTGATATAAATTAGGCAACGAATTTTATGTCAATAAAATTACTTGCATAAATGTTGAACTATAAATTTACTTTTACCTGCTAAAGCAAGATCTAAAAATAATTCTCGATCAGCAAATATGCCTTCCTTAAATTGTATTTGCATCGGCCTATATTGTTGTTTAACCGAGGTACATCCACCTGAAGTGTAATTAATAATTTTTACAATCCAAATTAAATATTAGAACTAAAGATTTTTTATCTCCATGACTTTAAGAAATGTATAAAGGTGCCTATCCCACAACGAATTTCTACTTTTCAGGTCAACGTTGCGTGCAGAAAAAGCTAATATGAAACAGTATAAATTTTATGCTACAGCATTGCTCTGCTTTGCTCTATCAGCAGACATTTTAACTCGAGCTCTAAGTGATGAAGAGTTCGATGAATTTGTGTCGAAAATTGAAGACTTTATTAATGTTTCTTCATCGAATGTTTGGGCCACTAATAATGATGACTACTTTTCGTCTGAAGAAGCATCCTCAGTCGGTAAGTCTTGTCAGTTCAATGCACATTCAAAATATTGATAAATTGGAAATCAACCATCTAGACTATGGCACATTTGACTTCATAATTGCCGGAGGCGGAACAGCGGGAGGAATTTTAGCAAATCGTCTTTCTGAGCAAGAAAGTTTTACGGTTCTACTGGTGGAAGCTGGAAAAGCCAGAGCAGCAATTGTAGATGTTTTGGGATTGAGTGGTTATCTGGCGGCATCGGAATGGAACTGGGCATATAACACAACCAAGCAAACCACCGGTTGTTTAGGTAAATTATTCACTTAATAATAATTGTAACAAAACTTATAATACAATTGTTCAGGTTCTGTTGACCAACGTTGCGCTTTGACAAGAGGAAAAGGCTTGGG